ACGGACAGAAATGTAGTAAAATTTTTACTCGTAATTGACTTTGAATTTTGATCATCCGTAAACGTCAAAACAAAAAAAAAATTTTTTTTAGATTTAAAATAATTTTTTACATATTAAAAATTAACCAAGAAAAAATTTTTTTATATTATTTTTAACGTAATGATAGTCACTCAATACATCAAATTTATTTACTGAATTACTACGTCAGACTGTTTGCATGTAAAAAAAAAATCTACAATTTTGACGCTTAATTGACTTTTTGTAAACGTTTAAGAATTTAAACTTTGACTGAAAGTAAAAACGCAGTAGAGTATTCGTAAACTCAGACAACTCAGATTTTGTAAAATTTGACGTTTAAGAATTTACCAATACTGTAAATTTGAATAAAGTAAAAAAAAAAACAAAAAAAAAACCTTAGAGTAAAAATTGAAGCTCTTAGAAGCAGCGAATCCATTCCGCAATGCAAGAGATGCCAGAGATTTGGACATACACAAAAGTTTTGCCAAAGAGAGGCTCGATGTGTAAAATTTGCTGGTAATCATATGACAGCAGAATTCAACAAGGAGGATAATTTTCAGCCCAAATGCGCGAACTCCAATGAGGCACCCTTCTACCTATCGAGATTGTTTGGTTGCAAAAGAATTGAAAAAAAGAAGATTAAAAAAGAATAAGATAAAACAAAATTAAGATAAATTTAATGAGCAAAAATAGCCAGAATAGCGACACCTACAACGTGTAGAAGGGAGTATTGTATTCACAACCGCTTCACAGCAAAACCCCACAAACAGGAACAATAAGGAGCCTGAGAACAAAGCCCCACAAATAAGAAATAAAAAGAACTGACGCAGACATTATGTGAATGATGCATAGTATATTGATTAGAATTGATGAGATCTCTAAAAGATTATTAAAAATAGAAAATGCATACAGTGAGATGTATACGGGGACACCAAAGAAATTAAGAAAAAATGTACGTAAATGAGGTACGTATAGTAACTTGGAATACTAATGGTGTTCTTAATAAGAAACAAGAATTGGAGATTTTTCTCAAAACGAAAAATATATATATTTATTTGCTGTCCAAGGCTCATTAGACATATTATACCGGCCTTAAAATAAAATGCTGTGATTGCTATAAAGCGGTACATCCTAGCAATCAGCCAAGAGGAGGTAGTGCAATACTATTAAAAGAAAGTTTAGAACATAATGAGGAATTCAAGATAGAAACAGTTGAAATTCAGGTTATTGCGATAAAAGTTAAATCGACTAAACAGGACTTTAGTGTTGGTGCTGTATACTGTAAACCAAATTGCAGCATTAAGAAAAATACTTTTAAAGATCTCCTGTACAAACATGGACACAGATATCTAATAGGAGGTGACTATAATGCCAAACATACAGGGGTTCTAGAATCACCTCAACTGGAGGAAAAGAGCTAAGAAAAGCTATTCAAGAACTAGGTTGTTGCTATCAATCCACTGGTACTCCTACTTATTGGTCTACTGACACAAACAAGAATCCTGATGTTATTGACTTTTTTATAACCAAAAAAATATGAAGATAGTAGAATCAAAACCTATACATTTGCAGATTAATAAGTTTTGAGTAAAATGTAAAAAACGCTTTGTGAGTTATTCGGCGCTCATACAAAAGTAACACAAAAGTTTTGAGCAGAATAACCGCAGAATAACTGGCTGACCGCCAGCTGTTATTAACAAGTAAACGTAGAAAGACAGCATATTTAGGTCATTTAATGCGTAATGGAAAATATCATATTCTGCAATTAATCCTACAAGGATATCCTAAAATAGAAGGTAAAAGACATGTTCCACGGAAACAAAGGCCGTGACTGCGAAACATCAGGCAATGGACTGGCCTACAAACAATCGGGCAACTAGTACACACCGCACAGAACAAGGAGAGCTTTAGCAATGTAATCGCAAACATCCAGTAGTTGAAAAGCAGACGAAGAAGAAGATATACGAAATATCAGCATTTTATCTTCAAGGGTGTAGAAGTTTTGTCAACATGCCCTGGCCCATCCGGATGGACAGGGGCATGTTCACAAAATTTCTACACCCTTATTTACAAAAGTGCTTATTAATGAAACTTATTAGTGAAACCAATAAGGACCTTTTTCAAAAATGTTTTTTGAGAAAAATTTGAATGTACTATTTACTTATTTACACAATCATTTATTCATTTCTGAAACTGAGTTCCTCCATTTCAGAAGCAAACATAATTTGTTTGAATAATCTACATAATGTAGTTTTTTTATTTTTTATTATTTTTTTTAAATATTTTTTCAAATTCAATAAAAAAATAATTATATATGTATACTTAATTTAATATGCATATAAAAATTTAATATTTTGGTAAATAGGAATTTCTTATTTAATTCAGTTTATTTGTTTTCTGACTTTAATAAAACAAAACAATTATCGAAAAAAGTAATCCTGGAAAAATTATGCCCCTATAGAGAAGTACATTCACACAGAAAACTCGATATGCAAATTTTGTTGCCATCACATAACCTACCTATTGTACACACAATACGGTCGATAATAATAACAAAGCCTTTATAACTATCAAAAACTAAATAAATATAACAATAATAAGTGAAAACGTTTCAGTCGTTTAAACCGACTAAATTATACCCTGTATATTGACAATCGAAATAAAAAAACTAGTTTTTAAAATATTTAGAATTAACTTTCATGGTTGTATGACAGTTATTCGAACCTGCCATTCCATACAAACTTTGAAGATGAGGCTTTAATACTTTTTCTAATACTTCATATTGGGTTTTAAGGTTCTACGGCAGCCTACACTGAAAAAACAACCCATTGTTAAATTGACAAAATGAAATTTGTAAGGCTTTTGTTAAATATTTTTGTCAATAAGATGAAAATTTGTCGATCCAACCTAGATGGCATTGTTAATTTGAATTCATATTTATCATAACGCCAAAATTATATTGTTCATCACAGAACTTAATGTCGTACAAAGCAACTTTGTCTAATTGACAAAATAATTTGTTCAAAGTGACAAATTTTTTTTAGTATCAACAATGTTTTTGTCAGCTTAAAAAAAGCTTCAATTTACAAATTTACTGCCCTGTTCTTGTTATTGCGACAAAAAATTTTTGTAAAATTACTTGTATATTTTTGGAGCTACATGCTCTTAAAAAATATATTTTGTGCATTTTACAAAATTCTTTGTAAAAATTTTTCAATTTCTTTAATTCGCCGTTATTTTCCATGTAATTTTGTTGAGCTGATAAAAATATTTGTCCCTTTTACAAAAATATAAAAATAATAAATAAATAAAGTTGGGTCAAACCAATGGTTTGTATTGTAGCACTTTTCCCTTCAAAAAGTGAAAATTCTGCTTTTAAATACAGTCTATGTATGTATACCTATCACACTATTAAAATTATTTTCATTCATATACAAAACTATTTCCAGGATTGCATATATTTAGGATGACGCATATATGCAGTGTTTGAAATAAAGTAAAAATTAATATAAAAAGGGGTTAACATAACGCTCGATTTTAAGGGTTAATTGTGAGAGTTAAGAAAAATAATTATATTTTTTAATTTCATGGAATTTACCGTTAGCTTTTTGCGTTTATAAAAATTTGGAAAAGCTTGCTTTTTTCCGTAGAACAAAATTTTTACCTATCTCCCCCCCTCTAGAAGTTATACCCTCCCAAAACCGTAAAAATGGCCTCTTTAACTATTTGTTGCAATGAAACCATAAGTATTTTTGAAATTTTTTAAAAGCATAAAGGCAGTGGCTTTCTTCCCCTAGGGCGGTATACTATAGTTAAACTTTGGAAAAACAAAATGGCCGTTCAAATTTACCGTTATCTAAAGTCTTGTTCTTCCAAATTTTTGATTTCGTTTTTCTTCTAAATCCGAGCCTGTAGAAGCTTGAAATTTAGTAGGGACTTTTAGACACTAACAAATAGTTCATTTCGTTAGAAGAAAATTTTTTTCCATCTCCACCCCCTCTCAAGTTATCACCTCTTGAAATTTGTAAAATTTGAATTTTTGACTCTTATATTTCGGAAACCGCAAGCTTTTCCAAATTTCTATAAACACAAAAAGCTAACGGTAAGTTCCATGACTTTAAAAATATAATTATTTTTCTTAACTCACACAATTAACCCTTAAAATTGAGCATTACGTTAACTCCTCTTTATATTATTTTTGCTCTATTTCAAAGACTGCATAAATCGTTCATCCTAAATATATGCAATACTAGAAATAGTTTCATATATGAATGAAAATAATTTAAATAGTATGATAGGTGTACATAGACTGTATTTAAAAGCAGAATTTTCACTTGTTGAATGGAAAAGTGCTACAATACAAACCATTGGTTTGACCCAACTTTATTTTTCTGTTCTTTCTTCTAAAACTTTTTGATTTAATATACATATGTATGTATATGCATGTACATTTTTGCAATATAATTTCATCTAAAATTAATTGGCGTAAAATCTATAAATAAAATCTATAAAATCTATAAAAAGAAATTCATGTCGAAGAATTTGATTTTTAAGGAACCGTTATTTTTGATATAATAGATTTAAGCGAAAAAATCATTCTCAATATGGCAAATTGTTTATTGTCTTGGAAACAAATAAAATCACTTATCGTTTGGCTTTTGAAGTGTACGCGCATAATATTTGAAAAGTAAAGTTTGTAATAATTTAGTAATAATTATAAAAGTGAAATTTAAAGGTGAGAATATTAAAAATAAAAAAATTATAAAGTTAAGCTATAAAAAAATAAAAAAATTGTTTATCAATAGCGTTTTGGTATTATTAAATATAATCAGAAACTGAATATTTGGACTTACATAAAAAAAGTAATAATTTTATTGATAAAAAATGATTTGTTATATATGCCGTAGTGAATATTTCTCAATGAAGTCTTTAATAGCTAATAAATTAATAAGCGGAAGACTAATGATTAGAAGTAAACAAAAGTTTTAAGTTGTATTTACTAAATTCTATTCAATTCTGGTAGTATATTTTGAAATAAGATGGAATCTCATAAAATACTTACACAACCAATAGAATCTGATCTAAATAATATTTCAAATAATAAAAATCAACTAACCACATACGGAAATTCATATATAACTTTGGAAGGAGTACCGTCGAAATCACAAAATGTGGAAATTGATTCAAACATTGCCAAAAGAAGATTTTTTACTCCTAAATCTATTAAAATTGTGAGGCTTAAATATTATACTCCAAATGCTTAGGTAAATTAATTTTTGTTTCTTCTAACAATTAAATAATTTTCTTAATTTGTTTTCAGATGAAGGAATTAAATTGGATGTTTTAAAAATAATGTCTTCACCATATACAGAAATTTTTACTCGTGGGTTTAAATTACATACACGTGTGGAATTCGATCACAACTTGCGAAATTAGCAAAAAGAAAACAGGAACGATTTTGTTTTCAAAATACTTTGTCAAGTAATATTTCAACTCCTACAGAAAAAACTCTGTGTACAAAAAAAGTAATAGAAGTCGATGTCAAAGAAATATTAGACAATACAACATATAGGACAATCTGTACTACATTTCTAATCAGTTACGGATGGTACCCGAACTATTTCAGTGGATTTAATAGTCAACTACATAATTCAAAAAATTATAAAAATGACTGTGCAATTATGTGAGCGTATTGCAGACCAAATTGTTAAATTGTTTCCTAAGAAACTAAAAGTAAGAAATAGAAAATTTTAGTATTGCAAAACTATTGTAATTCATTTACTTCTTTAATGATTCTTCTGTTAGGAAATATATTTCTTACGATGTACAGGAAAAGCTCCTGTGGGAAAAATTTATTTCAAATACTATAATCGGGTTCTGAAATAATGGATAAATTTCGACAATACAAAAAACCACTAGGATATAAATGTGTAATTTATTTTTTTTTTCTGTGTTAATTTCTGTTTTTAGTTTTCTGTATTACTTAGATTTCGATGGACTTTTGCAACGCTTTTCCAGATGCTAATAATTTTGTAAACGAGTTCCCAAAATATTGTGAAAAATTGTTGGTTTTATGTAAAGAAACAACTAAGGATTCAAATAGTATTGAAATGTTGAATACTTTTGAAAAAATGGAAAACTTTGAGAAAGTGCAAATAGACATAATTTTATTGTGTAATATCTATTTTAAACATTTGTTTTTTTGCTTATTTTTCAGACGAAAGATTTATCATAACTTTATACTTAATGCATGCAGTTTTAATTCCTACTAGAGGATAGTTTAAACTAGAATTTAAACTAGACTAAACTTTAGATAAAAGATTCTCAAAATACCTTCCTAATAAATGGAGTATCTGCAGAAGAAGTACAATATAAACTTGAAACTTTGTAGCAAAATCATGAAGCGATTCAGCCAATTATATCAGTTGCTGCTAGTATTTTTGACCCTGATGATGTTATTGTATATTTTGATGAAATTAAATTTAAATTCACTAACATTTTACATGTTGTTGAAATTACAAATACAAATACTTAAATCTTATGTAATATTTGTAAAGTTTCATAAATAACTTTTGTATTACAAGAATTAATAAGTACAAATATAAAATAAATGATAAATTAAAAATGACAAGGATTTTGTTTATTTGAAAAAATATTTTTAGTTGATTGAACAATACTAATTTGTTTAGATGAAAAGAGTATTTTGCTAAATTGACAACAAAAATTGTCAGGCTGAAAATTAATTTAGTCATATTAACATATTTTTAATTTGACTAAAATATTTTTTCTATTTAACAATACCAACTGTCAAGTTGACTACAATCATTGTCAAGCTGAAAATTTTGTCATCTCAACAAAATACCCTTTTTCAATAAGAATAAATTTTTTTTTTCATTTTGACAAATCGGATTGTCAAACTGACTAAAGTGTTAAAGCTTTTGTAAAATTTTGTCAATTTTACACAAAGTTTTTGTTGACCGTATAGTGACAAAAAATTTGTCGAATCAAATGCTTTTTTTGTCAATCTTACTAAGACTTTTTTTTCAGTGTACGGCGACGAACTGTCAAGCTATTCCATAAAAAGTTCGCGGATATTTCTGATCCACAATTGGACACTTGGCTGCCAAGTTTCATGAATCTAGCTTTATTATTTTTCAGAGTACATACAATTAGGTAAATGAGTTGTATGGCAGCTACCTGAATCAGTGTAGTCATTTTATATATAAAATTTTACATTCATGCCGTTATTCGTTTTTGAAATATGTAAAATAAACTCTTTGAATTGTATGGCAGCTACTTTAACCTGTTGTCTGAATTAGTTCAATTACAACAGGTACGTCCTTAATACGAAAGAAACAACTTATGACAGAAGGACGGACGGGCTGACTAACTGGCGAACTGGCAGACAATCAGGCGGACAGATATACGACTGGACTTATATAAATCAATGCAGAATTTTACGCTGAGAAAGAATATATGTATGTGGGAATTATTATTTACTTGGGAATAAAAATCTAAAATCTAACTCAAATTGTGTCTTATACAATTTTAATTCAATTTTAAAAAAAACTTTTTAGGCATTTACAGGATTTAATATAACTTTGACTTTTGTTACTATTATTTGTACGATTTGAAGTTTTTATTATTTTAAGTTATCAAGAAATTAAGTAAATTATAAAAAACAAGAGCATTTCATTTAGATATTCAATAATAACAGTAATTTTACCTTTTTTTTACCCTTAACGAAAACTTTGCTTTACTTAGCTTCTTTTTACCGATTTTAACAAATTTGGTTAATTTTTTTTACCGATCTTATTTTATGGCTTTTTGCACTAGAGTGTCAAAAACCAAAGAGCTTATCGTAATGTCAATTTAAGTGAAATTGAAATGAAAAACTCTCGTGCGGAACAAAATTGCAAGTTGACACTGGCAAGTATAATTTAATAATTTTAGAATATTTTGTTCATATTTTAGTTTAAGCAAAGAGTTTACAATAGATCTCAAAATAATACATTATGAATTTTTGACAGATTTATTGAAATGGGACTATGCAGACTCCATATGTATAAATCCATACCGCAGATGACTCTTTTAAGTGGCTACAAATTCCATACCAAAGTAAATATACCCTTCGCGAAGATGCAGGACATAACGAGAATTGGTTGAATTGGCTTTGCCAACTCTGTGATACCTGTAAGAATAAAATGCTGTATTCAAAAATTTGCGCGAAATTTCTGTATGTCAATAACATTTTAAGGTGTCTGACAGTTATCGTAAGAGTTCATGATATCTCAACAGGTTTTACCAAAAATAGTTGGTATGTTACCATAGTTGTTTACACAAAATTTCAGTATTTTTCTTAAGTATTTTCTAAGATAACATATGACCAAATAACTATAGAAATCGTATGGCAGTTACCAGGAGCAGCCAAAAATTTCATCAAATTTTATTTCACATTGCAGGTCCAAAAATAAATTTGCTTCTGCGAAAGCTTGTTATTACAGCTTCAATAATTTTTGATATATAGCAAAATAACTTTTAAAATTGTACGCCTGCTACCTGAAAACTGAACTGTCTCGATCACATCCAATTTAAATAGGATTCTGGTGTTTGGTATTATATATTTTTATGAAAATTTGGTGAGCTTAGCTTAATTAGTTTTGAGTTATTAGTTTTTGAGTTATTGTCTGTAGGGGAGCAGGCGGACAGACACACAGACGGACAGACATAGTTGAATCAACTCAGATTTCAATTATGATCAAGAAGATGCGTTTATGCCTATATCTAAGGCCATAATTTGTTAGTGTTACAAACAGTATGTGAAATTTAGAACACCCTTTGATCATACGTTTGTTTGGTTGTTTTCGAAGAAATAACATTTATGTCCAACAAAAAAAAAATTTTATAATAAAAACATCTTGAAAAAGCCAAAAATTGAAACAAAATGATAAGTTTTTCGCCAACTCGTAAACTCGAGTTCCTATATTTCTATAGGATCATAATATTTTTTCTATCATTTTCACCGGCCGTATTGTGTATACACTAAGGTTATGTGATGGCAACAAATTTTGCATATCGAGTTTTCAGTGGAACGCACTTCTCCATGATAGGGAAGTGTAAATAAACTATTTTTAGCAACCTGTCGGTCTGTGAGTGCACGCGTGTATCTCAAGTTCGGCTACACCGATTTTGATAAAATTTTATACATAAGCTTATTTCGACTATGGCACGGATTCATCAACTTTTGAGATATATCAGGCCTCGAGAACTCTACTTTCTAGCGGACCTGGTTTACACTTTTTATCATTTTGAAAAAAGTATTCAACAAATTTCATTGATATTCCATATATAACTCTCGTTCGAGCATCCGCGAATCCTCATAACTTTTGGAAGAAATCAGGTGCTAGGAACTGGACGTTTACTACAGGCCAAATATACATTTTTGTGTATATAAAGAGAAATAATCAACAGATTTCATTGAAATTTATTATTTGAATTCGATGTGTTAAAAGAATGAATCTGTAAATTTTTTGGAAAGATAGGGGCTCGGAAACTGATCTGAGGGACGGTTTTACGTTTTTACCATATCTACGGTACGAATTAATGGAATTTCTTGAAATTTCATATTTTAGTTCTGGTTGTTACCGAAACTAACTGACGAGCACTTCAAGGAATTCGAGTAGCACAAAGCGAAACTCTACTAAGAGCTAAATTTACATATAAGCATAATAGAATTGCCATCGTATTTTATAAACAGGCATTGATCAGCACTTGTTTGTAACATATTTAACTAGTGTAGATAGGTACTTAATTTCTTGTGCCATAGTCTTGCGGCTTGCTTTAGTCCATATAGTGGTTTTTGTGGTCTACACACTTTTGAAACATCTCGCTGAATATTTGGTATCTGTGGTAACTCCTGATGGTAACATCTTATGCAAATAGAGTTCCAGCTCAGCACACAATGCAAATACGGTCCGAATTGTTTCATATTTTGCAATGGTGAGTATACCTCGTTATAATCAATTCCTATTATTTGCTCACAACCTCTGGCAACTAGACGCACTTTATATTTTGACGAGCCATCTGCATTCTTTTTCACGCAATATGCCCATCGATTACCAAGTATTTTTCTATTTTTAGGACGTTCAACTATACGCCAAGTTTTATTTTTCTGTAGTGAATTTAGTTCTGAATCCATAGCTTCAATCCATAAATCTTTATAGTCAGATTTCATTACACTATCAGAGAATGTAATATTTAAAGGATCTGCTGATGCATAGTTTACTTCTTCATAAAATTTCCGGGGCCTGCCCTACCCGTTCTTTTTATTTTCGGTCTGCCACATATTTTCTATTTTCAACAGAATTTAATTTTTTTATACTTTTAGGTGGTTCAAATTTTTCGAATAGTTCAATATCTGTTTCAGAATTCGGGGATAATAATTCCTCATCTATATTTTTAATATTGTCTTGTTCATCATCAGTATTAACATTGTTTTGCTGGTCACAAGTTTCTTTTTGAAGAATTTCATTTTTATCATTACCAACATCCAGAGGGTCTATCAGGTTTTTTTTATTTCAGAAATATTTTTTAATTTAAAATCTACTTCACACATGTAATTATTTGGATTAAATATTTAAAAAAATCGTACATCGCGCCTTTTAATAATAGACTTGGAGCCATCGCGTAGGCGGTAACCTTTTGTTTCAGGGCAGCAACCAAGTAATGTGTATACTTGACCTTTCGAATTTAATTTTGACTTATCCGGACCTTTATCCAGTGCAACAACCCTACAACCAAAAGATCTTAAAAAATTATTATCAGGTACCTTACCAAATAACATTTCAGTTAGAGTTTTTCAAGGTAAAGCACTACAA